TCCGCAGAAGAATATGCCAAAACGTTGCTCCTAATAAATGACTGGATTTCTTTTGAACTTTGTCTCGAGACTTGTAGATTAATTAGGGCATCTTTTGGGAACTTCACAAAGAGCCGAATCTGACTTTAAAAATCTATCAAGATTTCTGGGTTTCCTGAATCCTGGGCTCTCCAATCACTTCCCGATATTTGGGGTGCTTGGAGGGAAAATCAGGCAACCATGTCAGAAGGTGGATTATCCAAAGAAAGCCTGATTGCAGCTGGAGGAGTGTGGCCATCTCCAGACATCAAAGCTCCAGACATCAAAGCTCCAGACATCAAAGCTCCAGACATCAAAGCTCCAGACATCAAAGCTCCAGACATCCAAGGTGTGATGCCTTTCCCAGTGGCAGAAGCAAGAAAGGGTGAGTACTGGTGGAAATTAGCCCCTAAGGCAGCTGAAGCTGAGTTCCCTTACCCCAATTCCCAGATAAAGGGAAGGGTCTTGAGTGAGCTGGCAAAGGTGGACTGGATGTGGGACTGGGCACAAGCCAGGCCCCCAAAGCCCCAGATGGAATCCCTGCAGAGTGCAATAGAGCAACTGAGGGAGGATTTTGACCAGACCACCCTTCATGATGAGGGGCCATCATGCCACCCAAAAGAGAGGGGAGGGACATCTGATCCTGTTGAGGGGAGGAGATGCAGACTGGAGCGCAGCCTCCCTCCTCCACCCAATAGAAGGAGAAGGAGCCAGTGCCTCTCCCACGCAGCAGGCAGGCTGCCCAGGGCAGGCAACACCGTCCCTCTCTGCGAACCAGAGGTGAGGAAGATGGCCAGCCATATCAGGTGCAAGCATACAGAGGCCAACAGGAGGTGGGAGGAGTAGGGCTGAATGACCCGCCCTGATTCAGGGGAAAGTTTGACGGGGACTCAGACCAGCTACCTCTATTCCTTGATTCTGCTGATATCCGCCTAGAACGCTATGGGCACCTCTACCCATCCTCCAGAGCCATGGCGAATACCATAGCAGAGGGGCTAGAGGGAGAAACAAGGGAATGGTTAGCAGCCCTCCACAAGAGGAGAGGCCCCCCCCCCCATCTACAAGACATAGATAAATCCCTGCAACTGCTAGAGGCCAGATTTGAGGAGGACCCATATGCGGAAGAGGAACTCAGCAACTTAAAGCAGAGGGGCCGCCCCATCAAAGAGCACATTTGTGAATTTAGGAGGGTCATTGGAAGGTTACTCCCTTTACCAGAGTGGCTGCTGGTGCATTTTTTCAGAACAAGCCTGGACAAGCAAATTGCTCAGGTAACTGCATACTGCGACATCCCAAATAAACTCTCCGAGT